TTCCTGCCCTCAGGGAGCCCATGGTTAGTGGAGGGACAGTGGGGCAAGGTGGTGGAGTGCGTGAGCTTTGGAGATTCGGGGTTTGAATACCAGCCCCCCTCACTTACTACCTGTGTAATGTTGAGCAAATTAGTTGTGTTCTTGGAGCCTCGGTTTCTTTATCTATAATATGGGGATGATAATAGTACCTACGTCAGAGAGTATTGGGAGGATTAAGTGAAATAATGTACACCAAGCTTTTAGCCCAGTTCCTGGCACAAGATAAGCACCCAATCAACAGTATATACTTCAAATGTGACTGATTCTCTTTGGGCAGCCTTTGGTTTTTCCCCTTAGCCCACCATGAGGCCAGATTTAGTAGCTTGCCCTATTCTCCTGATATTCTCCCTTCTCCCAAACAAACCCAGCTCCAATGGATTGGCAAGTAGTGTTGAGATTAATGAAGATTTCACAGAACTTCAGAGGAAGGGATACAATAATAATAATAACAATAGCAAGAGCAATAACTACATTTGATTCTTAACATGTTTTAGGCATGGCCCTGAATACTCCCAATGGATAATCTCATTTCATTCATACAATACCATAATTTTCAAGCCAACTTTCTCAGAATTTTTTTTTTTCCATACAGCTTCTTCCCTTTATGGAAATAACTACTTTCTGAGGAATCGCTTCTGTCTTTTTTTTTGTTAAGGCACCAAAAATTCTCTCTGTTGTCCCAAGCTCTTCAGTTTCCCCGTCAAGTTAGACACCCCATTCAGCAAAACCAAGGCAAGACAGTCAGACTGACTGCTGTCCTTCCTTGATCATGCTGCCTGGGAACATCCTGGTTCATCCCACAAAGCCTGCTGGTAGGGACCAGCAGCCGCAGTCCTCACTGCACTGTGCGGTCAGGAGGAGCATCTAGATGTCAATCTTGCTCCCATTTTATTGCCTGTGCTTGACATAGTATCTGACATATAGAAGGTCATTTATAAATATTTATGGAATGAACAAATGTATGATCAAACTAACAGAAGTCAGAACGAACTTGAGTTTAACAAAGGCAGTGGCAAAGTGCAGTAGGGTACTGGACCTTGAGAATCCAGGAAATTTTCATGGAGGAGGCAGGATTTGACCTTGAGTAGGATTTTAATAGGGAGAAGAACATTTCAAATAAAGGGAACAGTATAATGGCATAGCCATAAAAGAGTGTATGGTTTATTCAGTGTAAAGAAGACATTTGAATGGTCTGCATCATGGAGGTACAGTCCCGGAAGCCAGAGGTGCTGGAGCCTCAGGGAGGCCAGAAAGGGCATAGTAGAGTCAGAGATGAGCTGGAAAGCTGGAAGCTACCTCAAAAACGAGGCTAAACATCTTGTTCTGGAGTTTGACTGTATTTGTGAGCTGAAGGGGAAATCTACCACTGAGATTTTCTGAGGAGGACACTGGCTTGCTCAGATGTGTCCTTGAAAAAGATGACTGCTGAGGATGGATTAGGGGGTAGCAGAGACTGAAGACAAGGAAAGCCAGGCAGAGAAGGAGAACAGCATAGCAGACAGCAAGCCCCCCTCTTCTGCAAGCCTTTGAAGCCACCTCATAATAAAAGTTTGTATGGAGTGGAATTTCTGCTCCCAAGAGATATGGGAATATTTGTCATATGAAATAGGGTTGTATCTTCTCTGTTCTTATAAGTACTTTAAATACAAGGTTATAGAGAAGAAGTTAATGAACATAGAAAACATATCACAGATATTAAATCTTCTAATCAAGGCTAACAAGTCTGCTGTAATTGGGGCAGGGTGGGGTGACTACATTCACAAATCCAAAGTCTGAGAAAAGAACAGGGAGAAGAAAAGCACTTTTTGGGTCTTAGAAGCCTCTCCATTGCTCTCTGCAGAGCTGCCACTTGGTCCCAGCAGGTGCTTGTGTCATTAATTCTTTGAGAGTCTGTAATACTATCTTAGACTGTGTAGAATTCCAAACAATAAAGAATCTCTGTGCCGGATGGTGTCAACCTCTCCTCCTGAAGTACATGGCCATCATCGTGCGTCTGCTCATGGCCACCATCTTGTTTTCCTCCATACTTACTTAGTATTTACCATTGCTCTACACAAATTTGAATCTCTGATTAATTCCAGTATCATACAATCACCATGAAGTCTGAAATTTCCCCCTACTCCCACTACAATTCTAAAACTATATCATGCCATTTGAATGTATGGTACAAAAGGCATCAAGAGAGGAGTGTAGGAGGGGATTGACATTAAGGCACAAAATAGCAATGGTGCCTGTAGCAATTCGAGATTGGTTGGGTCTGGAGATAACAAATCAGAAAACACTGAAAGGTGATTTATATTTTCTCACTTGGGTATTAGAAGAATGTTGATATTGCTGGTTAGAAATAGCACTGGGAGTTGGGGTACTATTATTTAGTACTTAGTTGGGCAACTAGGGTTTATCATAATTCCTTTCCAAACCACAGTCACCCACCAAGAGGAGAGAAGTCACACACACACACACACACACACACACACACACACACACACACACNGGGTCAGCAAAACTGCTTTTGCTACACAGACAAAGAAAAACAATAAAGAAAAGTCTCATCAATATAGTGAACTTGCGAAGTAGAGGTTGGCAAACTATGGAGCATAGGACAAATATGCCTATTTTCATATGACCCAGAAGCTAAGAATGATTTCTAAATTTTTTAATAGTTGGAAAAAAATTAAAAAGAATGATATTTCATGACAAGTGAAAAGTGCATACATTTCAATATTAACGTCCATACCTAAAATTTTATTGGAACACAGCCATGCCCATTAATTTAGCTCTTGTCAATGACTGCTTTTAGTTTCAAGAGAAAGTATAGCCCACAAAGCCTAAAATAGTTACTCTCTGACCCTTTACAGAAACAATATGCCAGCCCCTGTTCTAAAGCATGGGGATGTCACCTAAGTAAATAGGGCCTGATTTGATTTTTAAAAATCGGGCCCATTCCTATCAATTTCTCCTCTCTACACATAAGGAAGAGCTTGGAAAGAGGAGAGAGGGACCTTGTGCTCCTTCCTTTAAAAACAACTGTGTACTGGGACTGGAACATAGGACGAGGAGCAGGTTTTGAGGAAGCAGACTGCACATGTACTTAGAGGTGTTCTGAGGCCAACCAGGAGATGACTAGATTCCTCAGCATGACTCTCAGGAAACAGAGCTGGAGATGTGGACTATAAGATACATCCATAGAGGCATACTGAAGCCACAGGTAAGGTTTCTCAGGGCAAATATAGATGGATAGGAAGATAGCTGGCTAGGGTTGCCAGATAAAATATATATTTATTTGCTAAATCTGGCAACCCTATCGGGCACTGGCTTTGGAATTTAAAGTTTGGGGAGGGAAGCATAAAGGAAACAGGAAAGGGGAAGTTAGAGGAGGAGGAGAATCCTAAAAACTAGAAGTAGGAGCCATTTGTGCTCTTGGGGAGGCCAGTGTGACTGGAATAGTGTGGGCAGGAGCCAGTAGGTTGAAAAGAGAAACCATGAATAAAAATTCTCCTCCCCAGGAATTTACTTGTGCTGCAAAAGACCATGGAATGGCAGGTTGAGGGGAAATATTGGGTTAAGGATTGAGTTTGGGGTAATAGGGAATATGTGAGCCTGTCTTTTGGTGTAGGAAGACAGTGGAAAGCGGTTGAAGATGTGATGAAGTGATATTTTTGCTGTTGTTCCATTAGGGTTTTGCTGGGTTTACTACTCACACGTGTGTTCTCCTCACCACCACCATGACCTCTACCACACTCACTACCAGAGTGCTTAAATTACTGGCAAAACACGAAGACTTGAAGCTGTACTGCCTTAGAGACTGTTTATCATCGGAGCCAGCAAATAACAATAGTGATAACAGTAATAGGAAGGAGAATGATAGAAAACAGTTATGGAGCACGTGCTCAGGGCCACACTGTCCTGAGTGGGAGATATGGGCTAACGCACAGGTGAAATAACTTCCTGGCATAATAGTGGTAGCATCATAGTAGCCAACATGTGTTGGATTCTATGGGCCAGGCACTGTGCCAAGAGTGCTAAGGAGATAGGAGGGAATTAAACACACAGGTTTAAAGAAAAGAACCAGTTGAAGATGATTAGCTTTGGGCAGGAGTAGAGGCACCTGTTCTGTAACAGGCAGGTGTGAAGAAGGGATAGCACAGAGAGATAGACCGCTGTGTGTCATAGGGAGGGGAGACTCAGAGACAGGCTTGGTGGCTTCATTTCTCTCCTGCTGTGAGTGAGTGGGGCTTCCATGTCAGACAAAGTTCTAAGACGGTTTATATTCTAAGGCAGAAATTACTGAATATAACTGATGTGCTTTGCTCCTGTAGACTTTAGCCATCAACAACAGATAATCACATAGATCAAAGGAAAGAATTTCTCATTTTAAGTAACAGATTCCAGGGCCAGGCAGCCAACACTCCCCTACTCAAATTACTGCCTGGTTCCTCACTGATGCATTCAGTCAACCACATGAACAATGCCTACCTCCTTAGGGCAGCCTGGCTGCACATCTGGCCTCATATCCCCTTGACCCAGTCCAGCCTCCTGAAAATTGGGACCTTGAGGTTGGATCCATTCATGGAGTGGACGAGCACAAGAATGTGACACAAACCCCTGTTGGGTACCTGAAAGTTCTGATTCTCTCCCAAAGGGCCCCTAGCTCTCTCCTGCACATCATGAAGTTGGCCAGTTCAAAAGGCGTGTTTCAATGGCAGAAACAGCTCAGGGAAGGCAGGCCCAACTTTTCCTTGGGAACAAACTGATACTGCGGAAACCCATCTTCATGTCATGCTCTTTGTGCTGGGAATCTATCATTTCATTCATAACTTGGGGAAGATAATTACACCATGCTAGTGAGAGACAACCTGATGAATAACTGTTTATTTTCAAAGAAGACATATTTCATACACTGGCTGCATAATGGGGTCAGAAACACAGCAAGCTGTCACCATGTTTTCTATGTCATTTAGCCACCTGGCAGTGTTCTACATGAGAAACAGAAAATCTTATGGTAGATGATGAAATATCCTTGGCCTTGCTCAGAAGCTGAGCTGTATTTTGGAGACAAGGTTTGTAAGTATCTTAATATTATTTATCAAACAGTATCTGTCAGCTTTGTCTCATTTCTGCTCCACCTTCTGACTCTGTCCCACCCCAGGTCCCAGCACGTCCTGCTGTGAGGCAGGTGGTAAATAACCAGCCTGAATCCTCCACTTGATGGGCCTCAAAACAATTAGTAAGGTTACATAACTGCTGAGTACCTGAGCTGATCAGATCCAGGACCTAGAATCAACCCATTCAATACTCAGAGGTTTTGAAGAAACTGAAAACAGTACATACAACAGAAGCACATAATGAGTTTAAAATCTGGACCAGAAAATTTAGCATAATGTTAATAGTCAGCACTTCTTGAGGGCATCCTATTGAGTCCTACGGCCATTCAAACACTTTACGTGGATTACTCAATGAATTCTTGCCAAAAACTTATGAGGTCCATGTTATTGTTATCTGTTGTAGATGAAGAAATGCTGGAACTAGCCAGAAAGTCACTCAGTCAACAGGTGGTTGAACCAGAATTCAAACTCAGAGTGTCTGCGTCCAGGGTGTGAGCACTTAGCCAGGAGGTGTGACCACCCTGCCAGCGATGCTGTGGTGTGCTGCCCAGATCTGGCACGTCCAGGGCTGAAACACTCATTTCACCCGGTGAGGGGAATGTCATGCCTCACAAGTTACTCCGCCAATGAGATGAATGTAGGAGTATGAAGTCCTTGCCTCTTGCCTGAATTCAGGGCAACGGAAGGGCCATCTGAGATTCAGAGCTCTCCAAGCATCGGCTGAGACTTCTGTTGTGATTGCACTGCAGTTCACTCTCTCCACCTGCCCACTCCTGCTTCTTTCCCTCCCACACCAGTCTTCCTGCCAAGAGCATGGCAGGCACATTTCACGCACCCAGATCTCCACCTCAGAGTCCGCCTCCCCAGGGAACCTGGTCTGCAACACTTTCTTAACATGATTCAGTTGAAAAATTAAGACAGCTGTCAGGCTGCAGAACTGCTGCTCAGTGTTTAAAGGGGAGCTGCCAATTTACCTCTGAGCTTTCTGACAGCCAGAAAAAGATAGACACATGGAGAGAATAGAACTAAGGATCCAGGGACAATCTTGGTGGCATTCTTGGTATTTCAAAATACATTTTTTTCTCACATTTTTGTTATCCACAATGAGTATACATTTATTAATTTGTTCTGTTTAGACAGATGACACAGGCTCATTGGAAAATGTTAAGGAATACACAAATGTATAAGGTAACAAGTTAGAATCTACCTCAGATCTCATTGCATACTACCCACCAATAACATTTTGTTGTCCTTCCTTCTGTGCATCTTTCTATGCATGCATGTATAAATAACTTACACACATGGCTCTTCCTTCAGTATATTTCCTGAATTCTATCATTTCTCACTATCTCCACCAGTCCCATCCAGTCCAAGTCACCAATATTTTCTTGCTGGGACTATGGCTGTAGTGGTCTTTAAGAGAATTTAAATACCACATCACTGCTCTGATCAAAACCTTCCAATAGCTTTGTTTCACTCTTAGAATGACTGTGAAACCCATTACCAGAATCTACAAGCCTCTTTCTGGTCTTGCCCTGCCTGCATCTCCCACCATGCCACCCCCATCACTCACCTCGTGGTTTCTCAGGTGCTTACACCAAGCTCATTCCCCTCCCATCCTTCACATTGACGCTTCTCTGCTTGAAATCCCTACCCTCCTCCAAATACCTGCATGGCTTGTTCCTCCACATCATTAGGGTCTTTGCTCAAATGCTCCCTCCCCTAAAACCCAAACAGCTCTGTCTAAAAGAGTAGCTCATCCCCACTTAGCCCTCGGCCCCATCCCCTTACCTGGTCAGTTTCCTTTCTTGATCTTACCTTTACTGCAATCACATGCCTGTTTACTTGTTTATTGTCACTCCTCCACAAGAATGAACGTTCCATGACAGCAGGCACATTACCTGTTTTGTTTGCCACCTGGTACACAGAAGAGTGCCTGGATCATAATGGATACCCTAGAGATAAAATGAAAAACTAGTTAAGTAGACAATCCATTTAGGTCAAACTATGTATCATGAGGCTCATTGCACATTTTCCCCTCTCTTGAAATCCTTGTTCTTTTTTTCAGATGGATTATGTGGTGATATATGATATATATATTCACTGAATCCTTACATATTAACTAGGATATATATATATATATATATATATATAT